CAAAAAAACCACTATCAATCGAACCTGTTGTTCTAAATACAATTAGTTTAAATGTTAATATTAAATATGATAAAGATAACCATGTTGAAGCATTAGTCAAAGAATTAATGATGCCAAATGAACATCTTGCAAAAGGTCAAAATGGACAACATTTTTCAACACCTCATCAATATGGACTTGAATCAACACGTGAATCAATCGATATGAGTAATCAAAAAGAACGTTTTAGTTATCAACCAAATTTATTTACACGAAAAAATGATGCATTTGGACCTTGGAATTTCAATTATCTACTGACACTTCTCTCACTCGAATATCAATATGGAGAATCCGATCGAAAACAATTTCCTCCTGTATGGAAAACTTGTCCGACAACAATAGTTAAAATGAACATTATCAAAGAGTATCAAAACAATGCGACTAATGCAACGGCAATTCAAGTTCCAACAGAATTATCCGGCAAAAAAGACGATGTTACTCTTAAAGGTCTTTTTAAAATTATTTGTCGACAAAATCAACGTAGTGAAGATTGTATTCCGGGTTGGATAGAAGCTTTTCAAGGTAGAATATTAACAAATGATAGTTTCAAAACAATGTTCAAACATATAGGATATTATTCTACATTTCTCATAGACAGACTATAAAGACTAGAGATAGAACAGGTCTAGATTTTTGATGACCTATGTCGGTCTGAAATTTCGAATAGGTATCAGTTCCAATTCTGAATAATGATATCTAATATAGCCAAAGTCTGCCCACAACTTATTATATTTCATCTTAAATAAATGAATATGATAAAAAAAGGAAAAAGATAAATAAGAAAGACTGGTCAGTAACCGATATCGATTCCATCTCTGATAGAAACATTTATAAATGAACTAAAGAAATTCTTATAAGTGGACTGTAGAGTCCATACCATATTGATGTATGCACGCTCCAGACTCCTTCACAAACTGAGACAAAAAAATTCGAGATATCAGCATTATATTGTATTTAATCAACAGAATGGTGAATGAGATATGTGAAAATAAATATTAAAAAGGCAAATTTTATGTCTTTCACCTTTTATTCGCACAGGAGTTGTGCTAACAGTTTCCTTTTTAATTTTAAAATACGATTCGAGTTCTATTTATTGATCAATACAGATTTTATTTTCTTTGAAAATTATTTTAATAAAATATCCTAGCGGAAAGTATTGCTACTGTTGATCATCTTCGAAATGCAGTGGCTAATGAAAGAATCTGGGATAATATTCAATCGGTCAAACATATAGTTAANCGTGTTGTGTGTTAGAGTAGTTGTAACTTCCGATATAAGAAAAGTAAAGGATAACTCCACCCAACCGATATCTCTTCTATTGGAGATTGGTACACTCCTTTACCCGGCTTCCACTTTCAAGGACTTATTTCCACCCTTCTTTTATCCCTTTTTAATATTCGTGTTACTTTTCTTTTTCTGTTCTCGATGTTAGTTATAAGAGTCCATAGACGTAATAAATACACGCAAACTCAAAAAAAGAAAAATATCTCGTTTTTTCTCTCTCTCACTCAATTGATAAATACGCGTGCTATCCAGCTGTTCGAGGCATTTTACAATCGTCGATTATAAAGATTAGTCGCTGTAATAAATCTTACTTCTTCTTTGTGTTTCTTTTTTTTTGTTTGTCTTACTTTTCAATCTTCTTTCTACTTAACGTATATGGGATTTATATATCCCTATGATGTCTGTAACTTATGCGACATCTATTCTTTGTATGTTGACGATCTAATATTGTTACATAATAGTGAAACCAGTAATGGCCACTTTTACTCTTAAGCAAGGACGAAACGTCCTATGATGCTTATAGTATAATATCTTACACCCACCTGATGATGTCCTGAAAGAATAGAAACAACCGTTTGTTGTGGAACGATCCTATTTCTACTCACCCTTCTGTGAAAAAAAGCTTTGATTATAGATATTGACATATATTGTTAACTAATGACTATATACTTTGTTAATTATATAATAAATTAAACGTGCACAAGTAATGTAATGGCCACGCCAGAATTAAAGAGGAGTATACGTAATCTAAATAACTCGATAACGGCATTATTAGTGACAGTCGAGTTTATGAGTTCGTTTGTTCTTTTACATCTTTGAATTCTTTTTGACAGAAATGGATCACTTCGATGTGATTTACTTTTCTAGACTATAATGGTTAAATCTGACTCAATTTCGTACTTCATTGTGTTAGTGTACGTTTTTCAAAATACCTTTGCTACAGGAAGTCCTCGTGCTAATTATAAATTTACAAGAACAAACAATGACGATTTACAAGAATGTCTTTCATCGTCATTGCCATTATCAATACGGTCTATTTATCCATGTAACACATTAACAAATCAAAATAGTTCTCAATATCAATGTGATCATTTCAATGTTAGTGGACTGTCGAGTATTCATGGAGGTCGAATTTCTCATTCGCCTGCTGTTATTATTCATGTAACGAACAGTAGCGATGTTCAAAAAGTGGTTAAATGTGCAACAAAACTGGATTACATTGTGAATGCATTAGGTGGTGGCCATAGTTATGAAGGCTATGGCTTAGGTTCAATGTACAACAATATTATTATTAACATGGAAGCCATTAATTACATCAATATTAATCAACGCGATAGAACTGGTACATTTGGAGCTGGTGCAAGACTGGGTCCAATCTATTACAGAACATATCAATCTGATAACTATACAATTAATGCTGGATCTTGTGCATGGGTGGGACTGGCTGGTATTGCACTTGGTGGTGGTTATGGTTATCTCGCTCGATTATATGGATTGCTGTCTGATAATATCTTGGAAATGAAAGCCGTTAATGCTCAAGGTCAATATACTTCAGTTATCTTTCCTTTCGTAAGCTTATGTTATCTTTATTTTAACGAGTAGCTAGATTTGGTAAATGTATATCAAATTTTTCTTTTAGGTGAATTATTGACAATAAATGAAACTCATGAACCTGATTTATATTGGGCATTACGTGGTGCCGGTGGAGGTTTGTATGTTATTGTTACAGAATTTAAATTTCGATTAGTTAAATCTCCGTCACTTGTCACGAGTTTTTCATTCGCATGGTATGCGAATACAACAAAATTAGTAATACAACAATATCAATCATTATTATTTAATGATAAAATATTCAATTTAAGTAATAATATATTTTGGCAAATGCAGGTGAATAATATTCTTATACATATTTCAATAGTTTATTTTGGTATGGAATTAGAAGAGTTTAATAAAACTATATCGTTATTGTTAGCAATGTTACCAACTCCAAATAAAACTGATTTACGTAAACGAGATTGGTTGACTTTTGTTTATGAAAGTTCAGACGTTGGTAATCTTAATGGTGATCATCGACAATTATTACTTGAAAATTTAACATATCCAACATATTATTTTAAAGCCAAACATTTATTTTATGATCAACCGATAAGTGATCATAGTCTTGATCAATTTATTGATCAATTGGCGGTAGGTGATGGTCAAATTTCTATGTCATTTAGTCCTTGGGATGGATATTTAAATACAATTCCAGTTTATCAGACAGCATTTCCACATAGACGTTTTAAATTCGGTATTCAGTTTTTGATTTCTTGGAATGATGAACAAGATGAGCAAAAACAAATGAATTGGTTAAATCAAGTGTATTTGACTATGTACAATGATTCAACAAAACATTCATATATTAATTATATGGATAGAGATGTACCGAATTGGATGAATGTTTATTATCACACACATCAACAACGATTAATTAATATTAAACATATTTATGATAAGAATAATCGATTTTATTTTGAAAAAACAATAGAATCAAATGGAGGAAATCAGGTCCCATTTCTGAACGTTCATTTTGCAAGCTTCATAATATTTGTATTTTCCATCATATAGAAAAAAAGCTCATCGTATTAGAGAAGCGTATCGATTTCTTCTGATTGACTCATCGAATCGATCATAGTTGGTAATTGAATAGTGAAAATGATAGCAGATAGTTTGACTAAGTCGATCTTATGAAGATAGTTTACTATGGCTGTTTACAGAAAATGTATTGAGATTTTTAATTAAGATTTCGCTTGATTGTGTCTATCGGCTAATGCATAAACACTGATGCCTACTGAAAGAAAAACAAGGAGAATAATAAAATTAATTCGAGTGCGTATACGAGAAGTAAGGATATTGAAGGGAGCAAATCCACTAGACTCCCAGAGGCGATCTTTCTATGTGAATTCTCATTAATAAATTACTCGCAATCCTGAAAGGACGAGTCTTTAAGGGTGTGAGTATGAATAAATAACTACCACGACCACAATTTCGACTTGGCAAAGAGTCTCATCACGTGGTTTAATTATCTGTATATATAAATCAATAACAATTTAAATCAAAAGAACAATCTTTCAGTGTTAATTAAATTAATGAGAAAGATAGATTTGTTTATAATAAAAATAAGAGGAAGAGTAGCAAACGAAGTCATGTTGAAAGGACTGTGAATTCTTGTCAAAATGGATACAGACCAGTTGAACGAAGATGTCTATTGGTCGTATGAACAGATATTTAAGAATAGAAAAATCTGTTTCTGTGATTGTTTAATACCCCCCCCCCCCCCCCCCCCCCCCCCCCACCCCCCAGCCCCCCCCGCCGCCCCCCCCGACCCCCCCAGCCCGCCCCCTCTGTGTCTGCGTCTGGCCGTG